TACATATCTAGTTCTTATGCCTCTTTGGTTTTCTCTATTTTAAGCAACTCAAAATGTTTTAAGGTAGCAACGCTGTATTATGCACAACAGCCTGGTGAAGTCATATACCCTACATGTTTTCCAAAAAAGTGTCCTAACTTTTCCTGCAAAATAGCCACTTTCAATTCTGATTAATAAGGGCAATAATAATTAAAAATCAATGTAAAATCAGAAAGACAGATTTTTCTATTATTAAAGGACATGGTTATTTACTAGATATTTACAGGATTGCTAGAAACTTTGACGCAGATAAAATATCTCATTCCCAAAGCATTTCATTCACACTGAGGAACAGAAAACAGCAAACTTGGTCATTACTATGCTTTGGAGCTGATTAGTTCTTTGGATCTTAAATGTATGTTGGGTAAGAAGCTGAAAGAAAAATTGAACTGCCATGGGGAATAAAAGCTGGATCATTTTATACTGCTTCTTCACACCAACAAGCCATACTTCTGCACTCCAAAGCTGATACTTTTGGTTTCATTCCCAAGCCCCTCTCAACTCTAGGATCTATTGTCCAAAGTCAGTCAGATGACTGAGACAGACAGAGCTAAGCAGAAGGAACTTGTCCACTTCCTGATAGTCTAAATGAGAGCTGCCAATTGCACTGCTGAGGACAATAGATGTCAGAAAAATAGTGCTGATTTTTATCTTCAGTAACTGAGCAGGCACATACCAATATCTGTAAGTAAATAATACTCTTAATTATTTTGTCTTCACAAAGATTAAAGTAAGTTCAAGTACTTGAAGTAGAGAAAAAGATTAAAAACTCTTTTGTTTCAATTTCTGTACCTGTCTCACCCTAATGAAGTACTCTACCTACCACACTGTGGATACCATGTCTGGTTTCTCTTTTGCGAACAGTCTGCAAAAACTTTTAATAAAAATCACAATAGACATTACAGATGAAATTTGCCTAAGAACTCAGCATGCTTCTGATGTAGAAAAAGTCACCATACTTGTCTTGTACAGGTTTAACACAGCCATAAGAACACACTATCTTAAACGGACCATCCTCAGAATGGAGTATATCTGAAAAGGAATTTTGTCATTGTCTTATCTTGGTCCTGTACAAGATTCTCCAGTCTGCAACCCACAGAGTCATTTCTTTCACTTTCAGACATTTAGAACTTCACTAGTTAACAAACACAAGACAAACAGTTCTCAAATGCGATAGCAAATATAGAGTCTACCCAACCCAGAAGGATCACTCTAGTTTCCCAAATATCTCTGCTGTTTTCACGGAACTTGGACTGGATTTTTCAGTTTCTTCTTTGCTCCATTGTTTCTAAGTAACTCTGCAGTATACTCAAGAACTGGTATGGTTTCTGCAGCTCACTCAACAATGTCAAATAAAAAAGGATTCAACAGTCTCAGGGTTTTAACACTTCCTACACACTGATACTCCATGGAAGATCACCTCTTGAGGGAAAAAGAATATAGAGTTTGTATGATTGATAGAAGAGATATATTGGCAGGGATGCTTAAATTTAACAGCAAATGATACAGGAGTTTGCTAAATGACATAAAAGCAGATGAACCTTCTTTCCAACTACTGGGAATACCCAGAGAATAAGAAAAACTCCACTAAGTTCCTGTTCATGGTTTCCTGCAATCTGTGTAGGAAGAAATGCTATCCACTTCCCAGCTCATGAGGCAGCCATCAATCTTACTCAGTGAAATCTTCAAGCAGAAACCACAGGAGGAAATGGCTGCCCCTACCCCACAAGTTGTATCTGTGGCTATGTCTGGGACACTCCCCAATTTTCAGGAGTTTTGCAAAAGCTCTGTGTTACCACAGCTTTTCCTAAGTGTGGCTTTTCTACTGATGCCCTTCATAAAGGCTTTCAAGGCCTTGGAGCAGGGTTGCCAGAGAACTATTAATCTATGCCAGGCTGCAAAATAAATAGCATAGTATCAATGTCTACACAGAATCTGTTAACAATGGATAACAATGTTGGGAGGCAGTTGTCTGATGAGCTGATGGAAAAAACACTGTCACTGTTTGGATCCATTGAGTCAATGTTGCTGAGGTCTGTAACTGCCCTATCCTAGCCCCTGAGCCAGGACTATGAGGCTCATTTTTACCAAAGTCCATTTAGCAAAACAAAAATCAGTGTCCTTGTTCTGGCTCTGCCCTGCATGCTGCCCTCACAGCTAAGAATTGGGGAGTGGTTTCCAAGAGACAGGGAAAGAGTGTTTCTCTGAAACAAAAACACTGAGATGCTGAACAGGAATGCAGCAGGCATTATTTGTCTGGAAGCTGCCCGATTCAGACTTGAGTCCATCATTTGCATAGGTCTGTTCTCAGCTTTCTTCTCTGCTTTTCTGCCCATCGTTTGGCTCACACACCAGCCTCTTGTACAATCATTCCCTTCCTTTCAGGGAGCTGACAGTAGCATGAGGCACTCCCAGCCTAGGCAGCCACTTCCTTGGCTTCACACAAATTGCAGTCTTGTCAGATTCCCAAGACGTAGATGCAGTGATCTCCCTGAGAAAAAAAATTAGCCTCTTTTTACCACCCAGAGAAATATGACTGTAGTCTGCTAATGAAAAGATACTAAATTCTGACTTCAGTGTGCCACTTCAAATACTTGTGCTCAGCACACAACTCCCAGCAATTTGGTATTGCTAAAAATACGCAAATACAAGAAAAACCACTAAAACTGTCTGAAGCAATCTGGCAAACTACAGGAAAACTGCTGAAAGGTCTTCTACTCCATACAATCAAGATTTTAATCAGAAACAGAGAAAAGATAAGAGCCACATGAGCAAACTCAGGTACAGTTAAAGGGTCATCTGTAGACAGCCAACCTGAGATGGTGTAATGCAGAGTTCCACTCACTGTATAGAGCACCAGCATAAAGGGCTCTAAAATACCTTCTAGCAGTAAGCTGAGCACCAGCAAGCTGCAAGAATTTAGGAGGTTGTCTCCACTGGCTTTCATTTGAATCTCCTCCAGTGGCACACTTCAATGGCACTTTCGACTTTGGCACTTCATCTCCTTTATACCCATCTTCTTCTCATCCGACACTTTATTACATCTTTCAGTGTGATTCTTGTCATTCAAAATACGAACATCATAAGTTAATATATACACACGTGCATTTATTTATACATATTATAAAATACATTATTTGTAGTGGCAAATACATAAAGAGAAATAACATAAAAGGTCCACTGGCTCACAGCTTTATTACTGCACTCATCTTTCAGGAAAAAAAAAATTCCATTATGTATGTAACTGAACCAAAGAGACCTTTCAATTTAAAGTTCTCCTCTGCCATGGAACTCTGTCAACAGGACCACAGCTTTAAATTTCAGATTACTCAAGAGCACCCACAAGGGCTATCAGTAGGGTTTTACAGCTTTGGTGAAACAGGTTCTATTGCTTGTGTTTAACCCTGGCCATGAGGAAAAGAAACATCCCCAATAAAGTACTTTGAGTAGAGAAACCACATTGTCTTCAACAACCATTCCAAGCTACTGACATAGAGCTTTCTTTTGCCACCATACTGTATTATCTTAATGAACAAGACTTAAAAATAATTCACTCTTTCTGATGAGTGAACTACACTGAAAGTCAAAATTCCTTGTGGCTTTCAGGGGTCACTTGCAGCGGTCCCCCGTCCCTCCCCGGCCCCCCGGGACCCCTCTGGCTAGCTGTCCCCTCTGGGGACTGGGGTTTGCCACGATCCTGCTGCCCTGGGCTTACCAGGCAGCCGCTGGGTTAGCACGGTCCGAGCAGCTGTGCGCCTCGGTTGCTGCAAGGGATCGAGATAAAGAGATGAAGAGAGGTCAATGGTATGCAGTCCAGAGAGATTGTATTGCCTGAACGGTTGCAGGGACCAAAGACCCTGGGCTACTGCCCAGATACAGTTTTATACAGCAAAATTAAGAGATAAGGTCTAAACAATGGAGACAGTGTCCAGCCTGGGCACATCAGAACCACCCTAGGGGTCAGGTCCAATGGGAACTGCTCAGGGGTGGGGAGAAGGGGGTTTACAGAGGAATGCTGAAGTGAAACATTCCCAAAACAATGGGGCATACATAAATGTATCCTTTTCCTCAGTTTCCCATTCCCAAGGTCTTTCTAAAACCCTTCCTCCACACTACCATGCCAGCATGATAGCAACAATTCCTCTGTACACAACCATTTTTTTTAAGCCTCTAAGCACACAGGTTTCATGTACTATTTTGACAAGTGCCCTTCCCGGCCAGAGGTCAGCTTCATATATGGCCATTGAAAGTCTCCTGCCTGCAGACTGAGACAAAATTAAAATGGGGAAGAAAACCTGTAAGTCATCAAATAACAGCCCCTTCTTCTAGAATGATGCATGAAGAAAATATAATGGTGGTGTTGAGTAATTTGAAATTTGCCAGACTTGAAAGCTGAGGAAAATGTTTTAGCCTTTCATCCTAATTATTTCCTAGGTGGTTTTCCTGTTGTGTGGAAAATGTGTCTAAACTTTACATTATAGTATGACTTATAGAGTTCAAAGGAAAAACTCACAGAATGGCAGCTCACTTAGAAAACACAGAAATGCTCACTTAGAACTTGGTCTAGCTGGTTACCTAATAATGACTATTAGTCAGCTTCTGAGAAATTGAACCACTTCATGTCACACAATTGCTTCAGCTTGTGCAAGCTACAAACAAGGCGGTTCTGTTATTAGCACCATGTCTGCAGCCACGGACATTCCTCATACTAGGGAAGTCTCCACCCTTCCAAAAGAGCACAGACTTAAGATGCCATAGAGCCAGTGTGATAACAGGAGGTGGCTGTGACATGGATAACTCTGAAGAATTAAACAGAGTAGGATGTCCATGACCAAAGGAAAATGGTAATGATGTTGAGGCAGCAGCGTGACACACTTTGGATTCAGCCCTCTTTGAGAGAGCAAAGCATTTCTGAAAGGCACAGTGCTCCTTACGTGTTCTCCTTTCTACTTCTCTGCCAGTTCCACTCTCATCCTCCTCCGTAGTGGCAACCCACGCTTCTGGGCTATTCAGGATGTGTCTCCATTTGATGATGACTGTGTAAAGGGCAGTGGCAAAGGGTGCAGCTTTGTTGTCATGGAAGAGCTGGTAGGTTACACCAAGCTGACTGTAATTAGCATCAGCTCTTCCCTTGTCAAGTGAGTGGTGTTCCAGCTAAGCAGCCTCTTTCCCTTCATCACCTCCAGTACAAGCCTCTCCTTTCCACTGAGGAATTTATTGACATGTTGAAACCAGAGGATGTCTGTCCTTCAGCTTAAGACCTCTCTGACAGCCAACTCTAAAAGGAATTGGATGAGATTGATTGGATGGCCATGTTCAGATGCATTAAGGAGAGCTCACCTGCAGCCCAGAATAGGCTTTTGATGTTTCAAGTCTCCTTTTTCCTGTTGGGCCCCTAGGTACTGAAAGAAAACAACAGGGCTGCTCTGACAGGGTTAAGCAATGTGAATAGGGCTCTAATAAGCAGCTGTACTTGATGGTAGGTGTGTAAGCCAGGTCTTGTGATTTCACTTATTATTTTATTATTATAATCCTAGAAAGTACCCCAGTTTTCTTGTGTTATTTTTTGTATGGAGACAGGTGATGCAAGCCAAGTTTTATTGCTAGAAAGAAAACCAAGATGATCTGAGAATATGCATTGGTCTAAGTTACCTCTGAATTTACTGCTTTTGAATTAAACAAAGTGAAAAATCGAAAAAAAAATTTGCTTTTTATATTATTCACCCAGTCAACACTATACCCCTGCCAAGTATGAATTTCCAGGTAAAAGATGTGAGGAAGACTTTTTTTCCAAGTATGACAAGTGAAGGGGAACTAAAGCCAGTAAATTCAGTTTGTACCACTTCATACTTTTGTCGAGATTATTTGCTCACAGGTGTTGCAGCACTACCTCTGAGGTGACAACTGAGCAGTGCGGTCTAGAAAAACCGGGTTCCTTCATAAAACTAAATTCTCTCGGGGGCAGAACCCTCCTTAAGCTTTCCCCTTTGCACACTTCCTCCTTCGCCCACAGCTTAACACCCAGACAGGCTCTCCCTTGTAGTTTTCGCTGCAGAGCATCACCTGGCCCGATGTTACATTGAGGAAGAGGAGGGCAGCGGCCCAACCACCCTCGCCACGCGGCGTCAGGCAGCCCGGGCGCAGGAACTGGTCCTGTCAGCGGCTCATCCATGGCAGGGCGAGGGGCTGAG